GTTAGCCCAAAACCCCAAAACCCCAAAACCCCAAAACCCCAGCAGTTAGATCAATCGGTTCTAACCAAAGATAATGAAATTAAGAATTAATTAGTTGCCATTAAATCATATTGACTAATCTTTAGTGCATCTTAAAATCCTATGAAGACTCAAATAAAAGGAGGTTGTTGCATCTAAGGTTGCTTATTAAGCCCTGGTCTTTTATTCATAAATTATCTATATTCTCTTTTCCTGACAAACTACTTGAATACAGCTTCCTCAGCATCCTCTTCATGAGCTTGGCCCTTGGTTGTAGAGAAGTCACTGAATCCGAACATTTTAGTGAATTCATCCTCATTAACATCCTCTAATATAGATTTCATATTTACTTTTTCGTTTGGCTTTCCTTCACTTACTTACGCAGACTATTTAACTTGCGAAGTATTTGAAGCTGCCTTCTCATTTTTATTTACTTATCCATGCTTACTACTTTTGTCATCTTCCCTCCTGTACTCTTTCCTGTCGTCTCGGTCTCTTCTCTTATCCTCTCTTCTATCATCTTTATATTTAGGTGGAGAATCATTCCTTTTTTCTCTTCTTTTAATATATTGATGTCTGTCATTGCTTATTGACCTGGAATTCGATTTAGAGTCGCCTCTTCTCTTCGGTCTATAAGGTATTTTGGGGAAATCGTCATCTCTTCTTCTCCCTCCATTATCTCTACCCTTGTCCTAATCTCTTCTTCTTCTATCCTATTCCATCTTAATGATCTACTCTCTTGTGAGATTCTTATCTGGGTATTATTTATCTTTGGTCTACTTCCTTTCCCTTGAATTTTCTTTTGATCTAGGTGAGTATGAATCACTTCTCTTCCGACTATAATATTGATATTAAAATTAAATTGGATTTTAGGTTACTCTTATTTGCGGGGATGATTCCTTTATTTTGAGGGTTTGTCATCCCAAGAGTCATAGGATTTACTACGCGAACTACTACTTTAGCTTCTATCTCTTCGTTTCTTATCTCTCGATCTTGATCGCTTTCTGTGCTTTCCCATTAAAAATTAGGAATTATATATATATTAGACTTTTAATTAATCGCTAAATTTTATCCAAAAAACAAAAAATTGATTTCCCTGGGGTTTTGGGGTTTTGGGG